CCCGGTTTTTTTTTTTTTTTTTTTTGAGTTGGAGTTTCATTCTGTCGCCCAGGCTGGAGTGCAGTGGCACACTCACGGCCACCCTAGCGTTGACCTGCTGGGCTCCTGTGATCCTTCCACCTCAGCCTTCCAAATAGCCAGAACTACATGAGCGTGCTACCACACCCAACTAATTTTTGATTTATTGTAGAGAGGTCTCACCAAGTTGCCCAGGCTGGTCTCGAACTCATGGGCTCAGGCAGTCCACTCACCTCGGCCTCCCAAAGTGCTGGGATTACAGACTGAGCTGCCAAGCCCAGTCTCTTTCCCATTTTGCAGATGAGAAAACCATAGCTCAGTGGTACGGCTGGGATCTGGGCTTCTGTCTGTCAGGGTCCAGTTTGCTGCACTGTGATCCTCCCGGGGGCAGGGCACTTTCCCTCCTTTCTGAGACACTGTCCTGCTGGCCTCCTTCCTGTATCTGCACCTTTTGAGGGAAGACTTCCTGGAGGAAGTGTTCACAGGAAAGGGGAATGAGGGAGGCTGCATGGCAGGTGAAGTAGAGACAGGTCAGGAGAGGGGCAGGGGAAGGAGAAGGTGGTGGGCTGGAAGGTGGTGGAAGCAGGAGGCTCCAAGGGGCGAGGAGGTGAGAGGCCAGGGGTGAGGTTAGGGCAGACCCCCATGGTTCCCCAGTCCAACTGAACCCTGGTGGTCCCGGGGCAAGGACTTCCAGCACACGTCACCCTTTACCAAGGCGCATACACACAGAGACATGCAGAGGCCATGGTGGTGGCCACAGGCACACACACATAGATGCTGGGACACGCAGTCAGAAGCACGCCTTCATATGCAGATGGCCTCCTCTTGGCAGGGTGTGGCTGGCCGTGGGCAGACCCTGATGACTCACGGAAGGGCTGAGGGGTACATTCTCACTGGGTGGCCTGGGAAACGCTGCGTGAGCCCCACGATGGCCCCGAATCTCTGTGGACAAAGGAATCTTGGCATCTGATGGGGCTTCCCCAAGGGTCCAGTCTGTTTCACCGGCCTTCTCCTTCCCCCATGATCCAGTCTTGTAGCTGCAAGCCCAGGGACGATGGCTGCGGTCCTTGCTAAAGCGGTGGATTGAGCTGGTGGCCAGTTGGAGCATGAGACTAGCGCTCCCCTCTGCAGGTGTCCCTGGGTGCCGCCTCCTCTGTCCTCCACGAGTCCCTGCCTGCTCAAGGAGCTTCCTGCTCTGGCTGGGCTGGTGACGGCCTCCCTATAGCTGTGCCCGCTACCTGTCCACCCACTGGGAATCGGAACTTCTGTGTGGCCTTGCCTTTTCATCCAGGATCTTAGGAGAATCTGATGAATGCCTTGGTTGTCTTGCCAGGGACATACAGTTACCTACTCAACTTAGCACATAATTCTGGCCCTCCACAAGACTCCAGGTTAAGAACTCCTGGTGTAGGTGGGGTGCGGTGGTTCATGCCCATAATCCCAGTACATTGGCAGGCTGAGGAGGGGATCGCTTGAGGCCAGGAATTTGAGATCTGCCTGAGCAACATAGCAAGACCCCGTCTATATTCAAAATAAAACAAAACAAAACTCCTGGTGTTGACAGTTTATGAATTGCGATTGTGCGGGACATCTTCCTGGGTTAGCAGAAAGGAGTACCACTGAGGGAAGAAGCAGGGAGCGCAGGGCCATCGAAGCCATTCAAGGCATCCAGCCCTGGGAAAAGCAGGGATTCAGACCCCACAACTTTAGAGTCCTTAATCCTTTCTTCTAAGCTTCTTCCAGCCAAACGTTTGTTCCGCCACCCTGAGCGGCCCCAGCCCCGTGCCACCCATCCCTGTCCTCCCTACCTGCCCTTGACTTGGTGCCTCAGCTCTTTTCTGTACCCCTGGCCTCAGGGAAGTCTGCTCCCCATCCTCGGATGGCCCTGGCCTTCCTGCCCTGCCTTGCTTATTTCCCCTTCTCTTTTTTGAGGTGTGCCCGGCTGGAGCAGGCACCCTGGAGCCCGGTGCCCCTGGCAGCTGCTACCTGGACACAGGGCTGCGGCGGCGTCTGCGGGAAGAGTGGGGAGTGAGCTGCTGGACCCTGCTCCAGGCACCTGGAGAGGCTGTGCTGGTACCGGCGGGGGCTCCCCACCAGGTGCTTTCTGGGGAGCAGGGTCTCTGCAGAGAGATGGGGGTGTCAGAAGCAACCAGAGCAGCGCCACAGGCATAGAGTGTTCTCTCAGTCTCCCAAGAGCCAGGCAGGGCGGAAAGCCGGCCCTACTCCGGGGAAGAGCAAATGGGGAAGCTGAGCTGTCTTGAAGTCATCAGGCCCAATGGGGACTCACCCCAGAGTCTTAACCTCCGCCTACTGAGGCCTTTGGTCTAGTTTTGGCCGTGGCCTTTGGGGTGTCTGGTGCTGTATCCAGGGCGTCTGCCCTCTGAGAACCGGGGAGAGAGCAGTCATTAGAAGACATAGACCTCAGGGCCCAGGGGGACAGGGAGAGAGTGCGTGATCGTGGACTTCCACTGACTCTCCTGCCCTGGCCTCCCCGACACAGGTGCAGGGCCTGGTAAGCACAGTCAGTGTCACTCAGCACTTCCTGTCCCCCGAGACCTCTGCCCTCTCTGCTCAGCTCTGCCACCAGGGACCCAGCCTGCCTCCTGATCGCCGCCTGCTTTATGCCCAGGTGAGTGTGACATGGCTGGGCATGCTGTCCAAGTCCCCCATGGCACAGCTGCAGTGGACATAGCAGATCCAGCCCTGTGCCAAGCTGGCAGCCACTCTGAGCAGAGGAAGGACATTCTTGAGCCAGGCTGGGGACAGCAGGGGCTCAGGGTTATGACTGAAACTTCTTTGTCCTCTCTCTTTTTCCTAGATGGACTGGGCTGTGTTCCAAGCAGTGAAGGTGGCTGTGGGGGCATTACAGGAGGCCAAATAGGGGGGGTCTCAGGTGTCTGGGGTAGGGGTGGGGACTTGGCCCAGGTGCAACTTCAGCAGGGCTTGCTGCTGGGAGACTTGGGGACTCTTTTTGTTAACCCCACAAGCACTGCTCCGGGCACAAGCAGGGCACTCCATTCTCCACCCCTGCCCTGGGCCCTGAAGCTAACAACCACAGTGCCACCGGAGCTCACACCTGCCCCTTGCAGGCTGGCCTCTGCCCCACCCATGCCCCTCTCCATGGTACCAGACTGTGGGTGACCGACTTCCTCCAACCCTCACCCCCTGACCCAGGAGAGAAACAGCCCTTCCTTGGGGTACCTCGGGAGTCATTCTGGCTTAAGCAACACCTCCTTCTGCTGCCTCACCCCCTACTGTCCCACCTGTGCCCCGGCTCTGCTTATACCACTGTGTCCTCGCTGGGTTCACTGCAGGCATGCTGGACAAGACGTCACCCAGAGTCTACCCTGTTGCCAGAGGGGCTGGGAAGTGCAGGGAGCAGGTGGCGTCCGGGGCTGCCCAGGCTTGGCTGGAGGGAACAGCGTAGGCGATGCCACCCTGCCCCTACTTCATCCACCCGCCTCCCTCCTTTGTGATTTTCATTAAAGTCTGTTGTTTTGTGACTACTGCCAGTGTGGTTGGCCTTGCCCCTGCAGGCCACATGGGCCGGGAGGCAGGGGAGATGTGGAAATCTGCTTTGGCAAAAATCTGCAGAGGCAAACGGAATGGGGATGATAGGAGCTGGGGTCAGGGTGACAGGGACCAGACCACAGATACCACTGCTGGCTCTTCTTCCGGATCCTGGGTCCTTGCCTCCCACTGAGGGGTAGATGGAGCTTGAGTGAGGCCCTGTCTCTCCAAGATGTTCCTGACTGCAACAGCCGGCAAGCAGAGTCCTGGGGCACAACAGCAAGGTGGCCTCCCTGTGCCCCACCCATGCCTCTCTCCCTGGTACAAGGCAGACTCCAGGTCGCCCCGTCTCTCCCATCTGCCGTGACCTGGAGATCCAGGAGTGTGACCAGGAGAGCTTGTACCAGCCCATCTGCCCTTGGTGGCTATAGCCTGCGCCAGGCCTGGCCACTCCTGGGGCCGAGCCTCACTGCCTCAGACAGTCCCTCCATGTCCCTGCCCTGTACCCTGGCCTTGTGCTGGGGCTCTGCCCTCTACCTCTTCCCTTGTGTATCTCAGCCCCACAAAGAAAAATGCTCCAGCTCTTGTTACCTAATTGTTCCTTCTGTGGTTCGGGGAATGTTTTTTTTTTTTTATTAAATAAAATTTGTATTATAAGTGGAATATACTTTCAGAACATTTAAAAAATAAGAAAGTCACCCGCAAGCCTATCTCTACTCAATCCCCAACCACTCTGAGTATCTTGGTATATATTCTTCTAGTGTTTTCTCTGAGAATCTGTTGTACACATGGTTGACGTGTTTTGTCCTTTTTTTGTTTTCTCTTAACATAATTGCAACCGTTTCCTGTGTTGCTACCTATTCTTTTTAACTGGATGTTTATATTCCAGAAGCGGCTTTGCCATGGCTTACATAACCATCCCTCCTTTAAAAAATTATTCTCATTGTTTGGAGAGCTGAGTTGTTTTCACTTTTTTATGGGGTTGAAAAAAAGAAAAATGAGAATTATATTTTATGGTACTATTGTTTACATTTAACTTAATCCTCTTTATTTAAGTGACCTCATTGAATCCCTTACCACTATTTTGGGGTAGATATGATTTACTTACATTTTACAGAAGAAGAAACAGGCAGGCTGCGGTTATGTAAGTCACCCAAGGTCACACAGCAATTTTAGTGGCAGAACTGGGATTTGAACCAAGTTTTCTGGCTCCAGCCACCTCATTCACATTATAATGTTAGCTCTAATGGAGCTTAAAGATGGGCTTGCCCTCCTCTCTTGTCCTTCTCCTTCCAGCATATGCACTTTCTAGCTGGTCATGTTCCAAGTGGCACTGAATGATCCATTCCTGCCTACACTTCACCTTCTATGGCCATGTCCCCATGTCACCCCAGAACTCAAAATACGAGGTCCTTCCTGTGGGAAGATGGCGTTCTGAATTTTGTCCATTAGGGCTGGGGATGGGCCTGTCACCGGTCTTTCTCTCCCTCACAAGACCTCGTCTCCTCATCATTCTCTCTGGTCTTCCAGGTGGGTCACAGCGTCCTTGAGGACATATTTGGTCTGAACTTTTGTAAATAGCAAGTGGATCAATGTTCATTTGTTCCAGGGCTGTACCTGGTCAAGCAGCCTGAGACACAGCTTGGGACACTCGGCACTGTTCCTTATGGAAATCCTCGGATCTCTGTCTCTCCTGGGTCACCAGCTTATGGTCCAACTTCTGTCCCCAGCCCTTCTGTTAGACCCTGATATTCCAGACACAAGACTCACAGAGCTGGGAGTGAGCTTGGGGATTCATATCCAATGCTCTGTTCTCCTTTTTTTCCTGGTAAAATCCTTCATATTCTTTATTTTTTTAGAGACAGGGTCTCACGCTATCACCCAGGCTGGAGTGCAGTGGTGTGATCATAGCTCACCGTAACCTCAAATTCTTGGGCTCCAGCAGTCCTTCTGCCTCGGCTTCCTGAGAACTATAGCCTAGAACTATAGGCACGTGCCATCATGCCCAATTAATTTTCTTATTTTTTGTAGATAAGGGGTCTTGCTCTGTTGCCCAGGCTGGTCTAGAACTTCTGGTCTCAAGCAGTCCTCCTGCCTCTGACTCTCTAAGTGCTGGGATCACAGGCACAAGCCACTGTGCCTGGCTTTGATAATAGTCTTAGAACTTTTTTTCTTTTAACCTGGCAGCATAGATTTAAGTTGCTCTGAATATACACTCCAAGACTTTTTATTTTGAAATAATTTTAGGTTTACAGCCAAGTCATAAAGATAGCACAGAAAGTTCCCAATATATCTTTTACCTAGTTTCCCCTATTGTGACCAGCTTAAATGACCCTGGAACCTTGATTAAAACTACAAAATTAATATGGGTACGACACTTTTTTTCTGGGGGAGGGGGTCAAGGTCTCACTTTGTCGCCCAGTCTGGAGTGCAGTAGCATGATCACAGCTCACCACAGCCGTGACTTCCTGTGATCGGGCAATCCTTGTACCTCAGCCTCCCGAGTAGCTGAGACTATGGACACGCACTACTATGCCTGGCTAATTTTTTTGGTTTGTTGTAGATACGGAGTCTCACTATGTTGCCCAGGCTGGTCTTGAACTCCTGGACTCAAGCAATCCTTCGGCCCTAGTCTCCCAAACTCCTGGGATTCCAGGCATGGCCACTAATGGCGTGCGCCCGGCTACTACACTACTCACAAAGCAACAAGCTTCATTGGGATTTCCCCAATTTGTCCTTTTTCTGTTCTAGGATTCAACAACACCTGTGTCTGACAGATGGCCCAGAGGGTAGATGTGGCTTCCCCAGGGTCACTTAGAGAGCAAGTGGCAGAGCCCAGCCTGCAGCCAGCCCTCCCCTCTCCCTGTAGGTTGGGCTCCTGCCCTCCTCACCCTTCCTGCATTGTCAAGAGACAGGCCTTGCTGCTCTGTAAATGATTCTAGCATCACAGACACCCTTGCCCACACTGCCTGCCTGTCCCCATCCCTGTCCCAATACCCGAGACTGCGTATCCCAGGCCTTCCTGCTCACGTGCTCACACACACGTGCACACATGTCCTGAAATGGCTGGCTCAGGCTCCAATCCCATGGGTGCTGGGAGCAGTCAGGCCACTCCTGTCCACTGTGCTGTGCGGCCAGCCACACTGGCCAGTGTTCTTCCCTCTCTGGGAATGGAGGACACACACCAGACTTGATGGAGACCTTGATGGTTTCTATCCAGCCTCCCTCCCTCCCTGCACCATCCCCCTTCTGTCTCAGGGCCTCTCCAGCCCCTATCTGACTGCTGCTCCCTCCCTCCCAAGGCCTTGAAGAAGCCTGCTTCTTCAATGCCTCTGTCAGCTCTCCGGGAAGGGCTGGGTACACCCTTTCACAGTCCACAAGGGGCCTGGGCTGTTGTGTTGTCTCACATGCGGCTCACCGCAGGGGTGATTAGGCCCATTCCACAGGAGAGGAGCGCTTCCCCAGGGGGATAATGGGGAGTGGAGCTGTGGCTTGTTGCAGTCTTCCAGGCTCTTCCAGGCAGTTAGGCCTTCTGGTGTTTACCTTAGGCTGCCTCTGAAGCTCTCAGAACCCTGCCTAGACATGACCTCACTCTCTCAAATCATCCCTGGGAGGCAGAAAGGAGTCTGGGACTGATGCTCCCTCCCCCCCACTTCACAGATGGGAACACTGAGGGATAAACACACACATACAGCAAATATGTTGACAAATTGCTCTGCAGTCCTTGGGTCCTGACTCAGCCCTGTAAGTTTGGTTGTTTGGGAGATGGGAGGTCTAGGATAGGGCTTGGCCCAGCAGCGTTCAGCAAACGCCTCAAAAAATCACAGGCGGGCAGGCCCAGTGACTCATGGGAGGCAGGCACAGTGGCTCATGCTTGTAATCCCAGCACTTTGGGAGGCTGAGGCTGGAGAACTGCTTGAGCCCAAGAGTTTGAGACCAGCCTGGGCAGTATAGCGAGAACTCACCTCTATTAAAAAAATCAAAATATAAGCTGGGCGTAGTGGCACCTGCCTGTAGTCCAGGTACTTGGGAGGCTGAGGTGGAAGGATTGCCTGAGCCCAGGTTGAGCCGTAATCATGCTACTGCACACCAGCCTTGGCGATTAAAAAAAAAAATCATAGAAATACTCCATGGCCTAACACAGGGCCCTGCCTCCAGGGAACTTATATCAGTGTGTGAAATACAGGTTGTATCCAGCATGTGAGAGGCTGACCCTGTGTGGCTGAAGTTCTGTGTCAAGTTCTTAGGCAGCTCCAAAGGCACGTTTCATGAGGACAGACCTCTGTGTGGTAGCAACAAGTTCTGTGCCCAAGATGGCCCAATCTGGAGGGTTGGTGGATTAACCGGTAACGGGGCCCAATGCTGGACAGTCCGTACAGCACCTCTGCGATAATCTTGCCCTGCCAAAACTCCTGTAAAAAGAGTTGTCGCAGCCGGGCTCAGTGGCTCAGCCTGTAATCCCGTGCCTTTGGGAGGCTGAGGTGAGTGGATTGCCTGAGTCCGCGGGTTCGAGACCCGCCTGGGCAACGAGACCTCATCTCTACAATAAATAAAAAAAATCAGCCGGGCGTGGTAGCGCGCGCCTATAATTCCGGCTACTTGGAAGGCTGAGGCGGAAGGATTGCAAGAGCCCAGCAGGTCGAGGCTGCGGTGGCCGGGAGTGGCCACTGCACTCCTGTCTGGGCGACAGAGTGAGACTCCAACTCAAAAAAAAAAAAGAGTTGTCGCGACAGATGTGGAAACGGAGGCCTACAACTTACCCGGGGGCACAGAGCAAATCGGCCAGCAGGGGCTGGACATGTACCCCAAGTCCTGGGCTTTGTTGATACCACCCAGCCATGTCTCCCTGGAAGGAAGTTGCACAGAACCAGCAAGAGGGAAGAGAAAAGGGAGGCTTCCTTGGAGGTGAGGAGTCACACAGACTTGGCTTGTGTGGCAGATTCCTTCCAGTTGGCCCTGCCTTCCTGTCCTGAGAGGAGGTTAAAGGAAGCTCTGGGGAGGAAAGGTCAGCCTGGGAGAGAAGCAGGAGCTCAAGAAAACAACCCACACCCTGTTCTCCACGTCCAGGCCCTGGATGCTGGGTGGGAGGGTGACAAGGATGGAGGAACAGGGCACCACCCCTGCCCTCCCAGGGTCTGTAAGCAGCAGAGAGGGCCTTGACACCACATGGGAAGTGCAGCGACAGGGTCACTGATGAGGGTGGGCTGGCTGATTCCATCAGCACTTAGCTCCTAACCCTCAGCAGAGGGGGTTTTTTTTGAGTCGGAGTCTCACTCTGCCACCCAGGCTGGAGTGCAGTGGCATGCACCCTCATGGCCACCCCAGCGTCGACCTATCGGGCTCTGGAGATCCTTCCGCCTCAGCCTTCCAAGTAGCCAGAGCTACAGGTGCACTACCCCGACCGGCTAATCTGATTTATTGTGGAGATGGGGGGAGGGTCTCACCAAGTTGCCCGGGCTGGTCTCGAACCCGTAGTCTCAGGCAATCCACTCGTCTTGGCCTCCCAAAGTGCTGAGATGACAGGCTGAGCCACCAAGTCTGGCTTTTTTTTTTTTTTTTTTTATGAGACAAGGTCTGGCTGTGTAACCCAGAATGGCCGTGAACTCCAGGTCTCAATCGATCCTCCCATCAGCTGACTTTTTAATTTAATTTAATTTTTTTTGTTGGATTCTCTCTGTCGCCCAGGCTGGAGTGGCACGCTGCTCACGGCCACCGCAGCCTCGGCGTGCTGGGCTCAGGCCATCCCTCGCCTCAGGCTTCCAAGTAGCTGGAACTACAGGGGCACACAACCACTCCCAGCTAATTCTTTTTGATTGTAGAGAGGAGGACTCGCCAAGTTGCCTAGGCTAGTCTCGAACCCCTGGGCTCGGCCAATCCTCTCGCCTCTGCCTCCCAAAGTGCTGGGATTACAGGCGTGAGCCACCGCGCCTGGCCAGCTGTTCATCAGCTGTCTGTGTCCGACTTTCCAACTAAACCAGACTTTCCTCCGAGCCCCGCCACCCTCCGCAAAGTGACAAGTACATTTCGTGAAGAAGAAGGTTATTTGGGAAGTGATCAGTACGGGCAGGGCCATCGTGTGTTTACGTCAAGAAAGGGGCAGTGGGTCCAAGCGGCGGCCCCGGGCCTACGTGACATCCCCGGGCTTGCAAGTAACGTCACCGCCGCAGGCCCCGGCGGCGCAACGCAGCCGGCGGGCAGATGACGTCACTGCCGGAACCCGTGCGGACCGGCGCGCGCGGGGGCAATCGGCGAGGTCGGGGCGGAAGACGTCCAGAGAGCGGGGGAGCGAGGTCCCACGGGCCGGCACCACCCC